CCTAACCTGCTATAACTTTTTAAAAAGCTAAAAACAACCTCTAAAAGTAATGTCAAATAGCCACATGATAATTTGTTAAGCTTAGTAATAGGAGCTTTATCAATGAAATTATTAAAATATCCTTTTACACATTACTATTAAAGATATATAAATAAATTTGACACTCATTCTTTTTAACCGGAAATTAGTATCCATTAATATATATTAAAAGATGTAAGGATTGATATTACCTTTACTCATTCCATAATTGTGCAGCGCCTACTAAACTCTCATTACTAATTTTATTAAGAATAATGCTATGAGACACCTATGGTGTTTAATACTGCATTAATTATGATATGAAATCAATTTATTAGTTATGGTGTTTAACATCAATAGTATTTTTAATGATTTATTTTTATGCGTAAACACATGATTATATTAGTAGAAGTTTCATTTCGTTTAAAGTAAATGAGCGTTTTGTATTTTAGATATTGTTAGTATGCGGTAACTGCCTACAATCATCACATTTTTCATATTTTTGTGCTCAAGACATTAGTCGAATAAAAAAGAACATGTGAATCTCACATATCTATCTACACTAAAAGAGAATGGCCAATTCCAAACAATGAGATGTACATAAAGACGTTCTCAGAACTTTTACAAGTTTAAATCAATAATGAGGAGCTTTTACATGGTAGCATATACTCTAGCATAATGTAGGTTTCTAAATGTTACTTTTAATTAAAATCACATCAAATTAAATAAATATACAAAATGGTCTTTTTTCATAGAATTTCTTTATTGGGCTAGTTTATGTTATATCTGGTTAAAATCAAATAAGATAGAAAAACTGTGTAAAACAAATAATTTCTAATATAAATATGAGTTAAAAATAAAATTTTTTCCGTAGTTCATTTTTTTAGTACTTATAGAGATAGTCCTACAAAAAATTGAATTTTTTTCTTTTATATTCAGATGTAATAGTTTAAAATAAAACTCTTCTAAGAGGACTTTTCATACCAAACTATAAAATTCTCATCTTGAAAAATGATCAAGTTATTGTAAGATATGAAATATGTCATATATATGTTTTAATTTTGTGAGCATTTGCTAGTGAAACTTCTATAACTTGGAAAAGGTAAATAATAGCCGCAATCAACAATTGAAAGTTCATCTTTCGCCAAAACGAAGTTAAGTAGAATCTAAGGCCGTGTTTGGAATTGATTCCATTTTTATTTTTCACATTTTTTTAGAAAGAAAAAATGAAAACGTTTTTAAAACGGCGTTTGGTGCAATAAAAATAAAAACTGGAAATGACAATGATTTTTTAGTTTGGTGAAAAATGAGAGAGAAATGAAAAATGACTTTTAGTCGTTTTTCACTTTTTGTTTTTGTTTTCTCCTCTCTCGAGCAGAGAGAGAGAGACATTAATGAGTTTTTTATACTGAAAATAATTTCTTGATAAAACCACCAAACGCATTTTCAAAAATGATTTCTATATGAGATTGAAAACGTTTTCATTTTCATACAAAAAATAAAATCATTTTAGAACGAGTTCCAAACGCGCCCTAAGCCTCTAAGGTTGACTTCTCTCTCTCTCTCGCGCGCGTTTAAGTCTGGGTTTGTTAATGGAGAAAAAGACGTTTCAACACAACAACACTAAACATAAGGAAACAAAATCCAATGATCTTTTTGCATCTTGTAGGGCAACAAAATCCGATAATTCTTTTTATTTTTATTTTTTATTGTTGAATAGAATTCAAATAATTGTGCAAATAGTATAATTCTACTAATAATAAATTTAAGGCAATCGGTACGAAAGAACAAGTTATTTTACTCCACCGGTAGAGACAATTATTTTTAACCGTTTAATTAATTTTTTATTAGTCAACAGGTCCACATGAAAAATTTAAAGCGTCCACGCAGAATTACTCCTTCTGTAAATCTGACTGTTAAAAATTAATCTAATAATAAAAATACAGTCTCTAACAGTAGATAAAATAACTTATTTCAACTTAAAGACTCCCCAAATTAATCGGTACGAAAGAACAAGTTATTTTACTCCACCGGTAAAACTCATGTTGATGAGAAAATTCTGAACAAAAACATACATATTCACATAATAACAAATCCCATGTTGATTTTTTTTTTAACTAGACATCCTTGACGATTTATTATTATTATTATTATTTTTAGAGAAATTTTGACAAATACCCTTTATAAGTGCACGATTCTTGATTTCACCCATTATTCTTGATTTCACCCATTATTCTTGATTAATGTCTTTTTAGTCAAATAAATATATTAATAAAAGGGTACTAATAAAGAATAAAAAGTAAAAACTCAGACCCATATACTTTTAAAAATAAGTTCAATAATTTTTTCTTATTTATTCTTACCATGTACTTATTATCTACACATATAGAAATTTGAAAGCGCTTTATTGTTGGGCGCATTTCGCCGTTTTGGTCGAAATGCAAACTTCCTTTTCTTTTAAGTCCTTCCTTTTTATTTTTCTTTTACTTTTTGGTGTTTACCCTAAACTTATTTACTCTTTTATTTTAGTCCTTTTTATCCTTTTTTAATTTTTTTTTTGAAATTTTATTTTCCTTTTCATTTTTTACTCTAAAATTTATTTATTTCTTCATTTTGGCCCTTTTTTTTTACCATTCTTTAATTTTTTATCCTAAAATTTTATTTTACTTTTCATTATTTACATTATTTTTTTTTCATTTTGGTCTTTTTGACCCATTTCTATTTTACCTAAGATTTATTTTTTTCGTTTTAGTTTCTTTTGCTCCAAAACTTATTTATTTTTACATTTTGATCTTTTTTGACCTTTTTTTTTTTTTAATTTTCGTGCTGAAATTCTGTTATTTCTTTTTTGTTTAGGGTTTTCCCCTTAAAACTTTATTATTATTATTTTCATTTTGGTGTTTTTTCACTTTTTTTTTTTTTTACTTTTTCCCTGAATCTTTATTTATTCATTTTGATATCATTTTACTTTTGCCCTAAGACTTATTTATTCCTTCATTTTGGTCTTTTTTAACATTTATTTTATTTTTACCTGGAGACTTCATTTTTTTCCGTTTTGGTTCCTTTTGCTATAAAACTTATTTATTTCGTGATTTGATCTTTTTTTTTAAATTTTTTTTCCAAGAATTCATTTTACTTTTTGTTTTGGTGTTTTTACCATATCACTTATTTATTTCTTCACTTTGGTCATTTCTTCACCCTTTTTTTACTTTTGTCTTGAATTTTTCTTTTTTTGTTTCGAGTCCTTTCACCCTAATACTTATTTATTTCTTCATTTTTAGACCTTTTTCCACCATTTTTTTTTTACTTTTCCCTGAATTTTTTTTTTCCGTTTTAGTTCATTTTGCCCTAACACTTACTTATTTCTTCATTTTAGTCTTTTTACTATTTTTTTAAAATTTTATTTTATGTTCGATTTGGTTCCTGTTTCCCTAAAACTTATTTATTTCTTTATTTTATCTTTTTCGAAGCCTTTTTTTTCCTAAATTTATTTTTTATTTTGGTTCTTTTTGTCCTAAATCTTATTTATTTCTTTTTTTTTTACACATTTTCTTTTACTTTTGCACCCTGAAACTTTTTTTTTTTTGGTCCCTTTTGCTCTAGTTATCATGACAAGGTAAAATGAAAAAAAAAATTCTCATTGGTAGGATTTTGGTTTTGGCATCATATTTTGTCAATTTTATCTAATTTTTTATTTTGATTAGATCTGACGTGCATGTATAACCTACTGCTGAAAGCACTCATGAGTAGAGGTGTCAATTGGGCCAGGCCATCCATAGACGGCCCGGCCCAGCTCGCTACAGTAGTCAATTCGGCACGGCCCGATCCTGTACTGTTATGAGCTGGGCTGGCCCGACACACTAGAAGGGCCTGGGCTGGGCCTCATGTTTGAGGCTCGCAGCCCAGGCACGACCCAGGCATGGCCAAGGCCCAAGCACGGCCCAGGCAGGCCAAGGCCAAGGCCCGTGAAGGGCCAGGCACGGCCCAGGCACGCGAAGGGCCAGGCCCACGACATGAAATTTTAATGAGGTTTGAGGCTTTTTAGGGCCAATTGACCGACCTATGTCGTCCGGTCAACCAGTCATTTTCTTGTAATTATTTATATTAATTCAATAAAATCACATCTTTTTGGGGCATATAATATATTACTTTTTTTTTTGTCATCAAATTTGAAATTAGAAAAAAATCCTAAAAAAAATGGTTAATCATAAGTGAAACTCAAGTGCATTAAGAAAATTAGGTTAAGATTGAGTTTATACATAACAGAATCTTCTGGAAGCACTTAGGTTTTATAATTTACTTATCCTAGAATACTGCACTCTTTTTTCTTTCTCTAAGGTTTTGTTCCGATCTCCCCATGAGGTTTACTTGGCAAGATTTTTAACGAGCCAGTCATTTATGTGTACTTATTTGTATTATCTCAATTCAATAAAATCACATCTTTTCGGGACATATGATATATATTTTTTTTTACTTAAATATTGAAAAAAAAAACTAAAAGGGCCCGGGCCCGGCCCTGGGTCTTATGGAGTAGGGCTGAGGGCTAGTGCTCCTCAGGCTCGGCCCTGGCACGGCCTAGGCCCGCCATGGGCTTGAGGTTAGAAGGGCCGTGCCGGCCCAGCATGGCCCTGTTGACATCTCTACTCATGAGGAGTGTTTTTAAAGAAAATCATTAGTAGACAAATTGTTTTTTTTTTTTTTTTTTGGCTAATCCATAACAACATAAAATTGAATGCAGAGGATATCCACTTTTTTTTAAGGTATTCGCTTGCTCTTTTTGGTTGTCCTCGCATTTGCACAAATCTCCATACATATCTCTCCCGGGTCAATTAAAAATAAAAATGACACTTCAGGAGAGGAACCTCCAATAAAATGAAAACACATTATATATTTCAAATTTAAATTACCAAAATAACCCTAAATGAAAGTAAAACAAAACTTACCTCACATTCATTTTCTCCTCTCTCCCCTCTTTGCCGCCACCCACTTTTCTCATTACCGGCGACGACCTTCTTTCCACTAAAAATGATGGGACGATCTTCTCTCCAGAGATCATGAAGCCAAAATCATGAGCTCGCAACTTCAAAGTTGAGATTACCCGAGGCTTCTCTCCTCGATCGCCGCCGCTGCCCCGAGACGAAGTGAAGAGAAGGCCAATAGTCATCGTCCGTCTCAACAAAAAAACTGTTGTCGATCGAGATCCGTCGCTGATTGGCGATCTCAATCTACCTGACGGCCCTGACACCGACGAAGCTGTTCTGGCGACTTCGGTCTTTATTTTAGTGTACGAGGGGTAAAATTAACTTTTTGCTCACATATTTACATATTTGTTTTATTTTGTTCGTTTCTGAACTGTTACTCTTTAAGTCAACTATACTCACTCCTCAAACCTCAGCAACTTGTATAAGGTTTAGTTTGGTATTGCCTTTTCCTTTCAAAATTAGTTTTTACTTGTAGTAGAAGTTGATTTAAATGTTTAGTAAATTTTCTCAAAAGTGATGTTTGAAGAATTTTTTAAGAATTTACAACCAAAATCAGAAGCAACCACCTAAAGATAACTTTAGCTTTTAGACTTAGTAACATTGTTGATTTTTTGTTAGTTGAAATCTCCGTGATGCTAAACTTGGTTATGATGGCTTGGAGACAAAAATCTGAAATTAAAACTATGTTTACATACTTTTTTGCATGTCTTGTGGATTTTGATTACGAGGTTGATAATTAGAGCAAACTTAACGATTTTAGGTTAAACATATAATCCTAGTATAAGCCGACAAGATATTTTCCCCAAGTCTTCTGATGCTTGTATAGCTATGGTGGATAGATTTTTCAACCTAGAAAATTTAACCTGAGGTGAGGTATCTATGATTTAGTCAAGCATCATTTTAGGTGTTAAAGACTGGCCCGGACTCAATTACTTAGTTAGGAATTTCTAATGTTACTAAGAACTTTGGAGATGATAATGGAAAATGTATGTGAAAGTACAAAGCTTCTTTCGTAGGCAAAGCATGATCAAGCATCATAAACAAAATGGCAAGTTTGTAAGGAATACAACGTGGATGTTCGTGTTTAATCTAAAAACTGTAATTATTTGATAAGTTTTTGAGGATTAACCTTCTTAGACCCTTAAAGTAGATGTCCTAAGCTTCGCATAACCGTAAAAATTGCCTTAAACGGATAACCGTAGCCTAAGATATGAAATTTTGAAGTTGGATGTAATTGTTGCAATTCTGCAGGAAAAATCAGCAATTCATGATCTGGTGTAACGTGCTTTTTTAGGTATTAATGGACCTAAAACCAAGCTTATGATAATTCTTTAGAAAGCCCTAGATGTCTATTTCGATTGGGCATTGATTTTATAATTTTTGAGACTACATAGAATATTTTGTGAACATTCTCGTAGCAGTCGTAAAACTGCCATTTCCAGAAACTGATAAAATAAAGAACTGAGGTTCCTACTTTTTGAAATGAGAGTGTTGCACTTAAACCACCTTTGCTACAATTTATAACAGGTTATTAGTGACGTGTGAGAGTTGAAATCACCTCATTTGGAGTTTTGTAGCTCGAGTTGTGTGCATAGGAAGTTTCATATAGAAACTTTCTAAAAGCAGTCAAAAATAGGAAAAACAAAATTTTGATTTCTTGAAAACTATTTTTGAAGTACTTAAAGAGGTCAGATTTAGACATATGATAGTTCGTTGAAAATTTATACATGTCTACTTTGTTTTGGGGTCAATTTTGGAATTTTTAAAGACAGAGAAAATATTTTATGAATTTTCTTCTCAAGATGGACGAATCTGTGAAATTACAGTTTTCAGGGGAATATGATTATGAATTAGAAATTGATTTATGGCTGAGCTATTGAGCTCTAATAACGATGGCCAATTTGTTTATTTTGGACAGTAGAAAGGAAAACGAACAAGGGAAGCGAAGAGAGTTAAACTCAGATTTTGCTAAGCAACTCAGGTAAGTAGAGTATGACTTCTCTGCAGCACTTGTAAACTTTATTTGATAGACTTTCTGTGGAATGTCTAGTATGCTATTATGTGAATTTTTGTGACATTGTCAATGTGTATATTTTGTGAAGGCATGTTTATGTTAATATATTGTACACAAAGTAGAGCATCACCGGGATTATTAACTTACTTGTGATTGAGCACATAATAGCATGCATTATAGGCCGGTACTGCCAAGCCCTCAAAGGACTCCTATTGTGATATGGTGATTGATAAAATTGTGATTGAGCCGTGCAAGTCTCTCGAGCCAAGTAGGTGATGACAAAGACTATATTGTGATTTTGAATGCGCTGACCGTTCCCTCGAGCCAGGTGGGTGATGACGAGGAACCTGATATTATGATTTGAGAAATTGACATGTGGTTAGATTGTGAAAAAGCCAGTGGCAGTACCAGGAGGGCCCTAGAGATATATAGTGCACGTGCATAAAGTGTAAGAATTGATTGGCATAAGTTACCTAGGATGTTGTGATACATGCATATGTTAAGATAAGATTGTGTAGTTGTAGCTCTACTTACTAAGCCTGTAGCTCATTAAAGTTTGCTCTGTGCTGTAGGTAAAGGTAAGAAAAAAGTAGAACAGGAAGCAGGGGAGCTGGCTTCGTTGACTGCTGTACATATGGTTGGACCGAAGAAGCTGCACACGGATTATTTTGGGTTTGTAAATACATATATTTTGGAGTTAAACTCATAAACCTTGGATGACTGTATAATTTTAGTTATGGCTAGAAAACCTTATAGGAATGGTGTATTAACGAAATTTTATTTAAGTAAAAATTTTAAAACACCATAGTTTTGACATAAGTGAAAGTGAGGGTTAGTTATTGTGGCACATCCTTTGGATTAATAGTAAGAAAGGCTTGAAAAGAGATGGTATAAAAGGGTGTCACAATTGGAAGATCTCGTAAGATTCCTCGACGAGAGCAATCGGAACCAGCTCGTTAGGGAGATGGTAATGAACTCAGAAACGAGGCTCCCGAAGTGCCTCATGCTAGGGCACAAGTGGGTGATGACAGAGACTATATTGTGATATTGAGAAATTGTGATTTTGAATGCGTTGGTCGTTCCCTCGTGCCAGGTGGGTGATGACGGGGAACCTGATATTGTGATTTGAGAAATTGACATGTAGTCAGATTGTAAAAAAGCTAGCAGCAGTACCGGGAGGGCCCTAGAGATATATAGTGCACGTGCATAAAGTGTAAGAATTGATTGGCATAAGTCACCTAGGATGTTGTGATGCATGCGTATGTTAAGATAAGATTGTGTAGTTGTAGCTCTACTTCCTGAGCCTGTAGCTCATTAAAGTTTGCTCTGTGCTGCAGATAAAGGTAAGAACAAAGCAGAACAGTAAGCAAGGGAGTTGGCTTCATTGACCACTGTACATATGGTTTGACCGAAGAAGCTGCACACGGATTATTTTGGGTTTGTAAATACATATATTTTGGAGTTAAACTCATAAACCTTGGATGACTGTATAATTTTAATTATGGCTAGGAAACCTGATAGGAATGGTGTATTAACGAAATTTTATTTAAGTAAAAATGTTGAAACACCATAGTTTTCACAGAAGTGAAAAGTAAGGGTTAGTTATTGTGGCACATCCTTAGGATTAATAATAAGAAAGTCTTGAAAGGAGATGGTATAAAAGGGTGTCACAGTTTTACTAAATCTTAGGGAGAGAAAGAAGTCTGGGTACCTTTCATGAGTGCAATTTAACTGTTCCATTCAAAATTTTTATTTCTTGATACATTTTTTTTAGTTAAGTGACTATTAATGAGAAAAAATTGATTTTATAGACTAAAGCAGAATATTGGGTATATAAAAATATGTATAAAAACTGGTTACTTAGACGAAAGATATTTCGAATGACTTCTCAGTAATAATACAATTGTATTGACGAGTTCTCCAGTCATTAGATCATAGTCATAGCTAAGCTAATAGTAATCGCACAAAATTCTCCGCTCGAAAATATATAAAATAAAAGAGTTATACAAATCATGTATATAGAAAATAAGCACGACGCAGAAAAGGGAATCAAGAACAACACGAATAACCAAATTAAAAATTAAAACATATAGCTACAAAAAGGCCTCGTTAAAGGATTATGCTAAGCTCCTTATAAAGACTACTACAAAGAAGCCTCGTTAAAGGCATTTTAGTTAAAACCTAATGAGAAAAAAGAAAGAAAAGAAAAAAAGAAGACAAAACGAAAAAACAAGTACATATCTACTTATGGAGTAATCAGTAAAAAATTTATGTCATATCTTTATAAACTGCAACAGAATCGAAAGTGGGACAATAGAACCACCAGGATAAAACTTCCTCGATGTAACATAAGAAGCAAGCTTGCCTTTCGTATGATTGACTTCACAATATATATGTATGGAACCCGATATGAATTTCTTTCTAGGAAGCCTAAAATTGGAAAAGGAGATAAATACTCCTTAAAATATATGGATTTAAATTTTTATCATTTATTTTTTATTAATATATCCTTCTTAATCAAATAATTATGACAGTTAAAACTGTACTAATTAAGAATAAGAACTAAATATTTAGACTCATACATTTTTAAACTAAGTTAAATAATTCTCCCTAGCTAAAATACTAGTCTAGCAAGCACGAGAACAGATAGCTAAAGGATTAAGCAAAAATTTTCATACAAGAATAACCTAAACCAGATTTTTTTTTTTCGTTCACCGTTTCAGCCCAGTTCGGCCCATTTTAAGCAGCTGCAAAGTCTAAAAAAGTGTTTGGTAAGGGTATTTGTTTTAAAGGAAATAGTAGAAAATAGGTCAATATGAAAAGTTTAAAAAAGTATATAGATTAATTTTTAGTTATAAAAATTAATAGGTCATAACTTGTGAAGTTATGATTCATAATCAGATAAGTTATGGATAAACTTGTCAAGTTATGGTTCATAACCAGACAAATTATGGATAAAAACCGTAAATTATGGACAATAACTTGTCAAGTTATAGTTCAATAACCAGACAAGTTATGAACAAAAACAATAATTTGGCCTATTTATTAATTTATGTAAATTATTAACCTATTAATTTTAATTCATCTCAAATCTTAACCTATTTCTCTCTTTCTCCCCTGTTTTAAACTGAATGTCCAATTTAACTTGAGTTTAACCGTGCAGAAAAGAGTTTAAAGTCTACTTTTCAAACCATTCTTCTACAGTATCCCACCGTTTTTTCCACTCCGCTTTCAAGGTTACCTTTTTCTTTTTTCTGCTGGTCAAGCTGATGCTGTGTTGAAGTGTCGTGGCCCCCTTTCAATGCTTTGGACTTGTATTTATATCCACTATGGTATCGTAGTAAAAAAAAGAAAAAAAGGAAAAAAAAAATAATCTAGTAGGGTATTAATTTGCCACTTTTTCTTTTCTTTTATCCTACTAATTAACCATTGTAAAATATTATATTTTATTCATTTTTTATGTTGTTTAATATAGTTTTGGACAACTTCTAATTTCATTTGCCTATGAAAATTTTCTTTATCACGCTTCCAAAAAAAAATATATTATTTTTAACTTTAAATAGCAATTAGGGTAAAAAAAAAATCCAAGACCAGTTCAAATTATAATTCCGATGACTCATCCAAACACTAATTTGGATTTTATTTTTTGTTCTCATTAAAAGTTTCACTGTACATCTAAACCCTAATTCAAACTACTTTTTAAACCATACAATTCAGATACAATCGGGATTTACCAATAGATTTTTCTCTTTTCCCTACTAATACGAATATATGAGATTTAGCATTAGAATTTGTAGTGTTCTTTTCTCATACTAATACGAACTTAGTAAATCCGGGATTTACTAGGTTTATCCAGGATTTACTATTATTGTTTTCACTGTTTTCATATTAACACGAACTTGGTAAATCTAGATTTACCTGGTATATTCAGGATTTACCATTATAATTTGTATTTTTTTCTTCTAGTAATATGGACTTAGTAAATCCTTACTTTACCAAGTATATTTAGAATCTTCCACTAGAATTTATACTATTTTTTTTCAAGTGATTCTAACTTGATAAATCCTGAATATACCTGGATTTACTAAAGAAAAAGGGAGAAAACTAGCAAGAAAATGGTATAATTAGAAAATTAATAATTAAAAACATGAAATGGTCTATTTAATTTCTAAACATCGGCAAATTGGCCATTTACTTCCATAAGTTTTAATTGTAGGCATATTTCCTACAATTTCCCTAAAATAAATATTCTAAATTAATGACTCACCAAAATTAATCATGTATGAAAATTCCTATTCAAATCAATTAATATGTCTAATCCCTATGCTGACAATGAGTTATTCTAAATTAATTATTACTCTTTCTCAAACATTAATAACCATGTTTCAACCATGCACCCTACATTCACGTTAAGATTTTAACATGTTAAAACTCATTAAGAATAGAAAATCATAACACTACACACAGTGACGAAGCCAGATATTTTTATGAGTGGGAGCTTAAAACTACAACAGAAATTTTGAGGGGGCATAATGTTGTGCTTTCAATTTTTTAGAGGGGGCATTGTATAATTTTCTAAAACTTTCATATTTATACATAGGTTAAAAAAAATAAAGAAAGAAGAGTTGGGGACATAGGTTAAAAAAATAAAGAAAAAAGACTTGGGGACATAGGTTAAAAAAAATAAAGAAAAAGTGTTGGGGGCGCTTGAGCCCTGTAGGCATCAGCTGGCTACGTCCCTGACTAAACGAGACTCATAATTATCTTTAATTTATGACATTTTTAAACAAGAATTTATTTAATTATCACTTCTTAGTCTCAAATTAAATATCAAATTACGTAATTATTAATTAGACAACATATCACAAACAATAAACATAGAATGAAATACTCAACATATTTGGGAACAAAACATCAGTTAATAAAAATTATAAAAAAATGAAATACTCATAATCTCAAGAAAGGTGCCTCAAAGTTCCCAAAATAATTTCTCGAATATTTTCGTAATCAACTCTTATTTTCGAGTCTGTGAATGCGTTGAAGAGTGAATTCTCGTCACCAAGGGGGTCGGTCTGCTTGCTTTCCTCAAAATTGCGCCACAAAATAGGCTTTTAAATAGCCTCAAATTCCACACGTCAAACAAGGAAAAAGCAGGCTTTCAGGGCTCTGACGCATCAGGAACAAGTCGTAGTATTAGAATGGCCGCAACAAAGATGAGGGAGACGTGGCGCGTAGGTGTTGGACAAAGGATAGGATGCACGGCATTTATTAAGGCTACACTGCATGGGATCCAACAGCTGCAGGAGAAGACAACACACGAGTTTGGACGAACGGACTGGAGTGAGTAAACACACTCGCGCAGTTGGACTGATCTAGAGCCGATCGAACGGCGAGAATAGGGCATGTGGGTACTACTTTGATGGAGGCGCGTGGAGGATCTTCGAATCCGGATTTCTTTTGAATTGCGATTTGGAATCCCAATTAAGCATTAAACTGCCCTTTTCACCTAATCTGAACACAAATTATTAGAAGGGAACCTAAATAAAACCAAAATAAAATAAACTAAAATAGAAGAAAGTAAAACAAAACAAAATAAAATAAAACGAAACTAAACTAAAAATTAAATTAAATTAAATTAAATTAAATCCTCGAGAATAACACAAATACAAATACAATTTAAAACAAAAAGTAATTACCAAAAAAGAAAATGAAAAGAGCTATGTTTGATAGAGTTATCACAGAGACACACATCACACCATCAGGTAGGTCGACCACAAAGTCTGGCGGAGTGGAGACATAGTCAACCCATATAGTGAAACCCATTGGATATATTTAGTCTCGTTCATTTTACATATTTAAATTTTCAATTTGAGTTGAAATATGATATTTTTTAGAGCTTTTCACTGTAACAGAAAAAGTTAAATGTGACATTTTCTGAGAGTTTTTCACTGTAGCAGAAAAATATAAATGTGGCATTTTCTGAGAACTTTTAACTGTAGAAACTTAAAATTGAAATTCAAATCAGTGAAATAAATGAGACATTATTATTTTCATCTTTTGACTCTTGAATTTTAGCATTGTCCATAATTCTCATCGTGTGAGATCCTTCTCAAAATTCCTTCTAAAGAGATTCTTTTTCTTTTCCCTTTATGTAGGGAACTTTTACGGTAAACTGTAGAGCATATGTCACGAACTCAAAGATGGAACCGTGATTATTAGGATATAATTAAAAAAATTAACCTAATGAAATTAGATTAATTAAAGAAAATCTATAAAAATAAAATAAAATATACAAATATCAAAATAGATATTAAAATATATTGCTATGGAGTCTTTCTTTTATAAACAATATTTAAAACAGTCCATAAAATTTAAAATAATACAACTCTGGGACAGTGTCGACCAATACAGTGTATATACAAGAATATTGTATATCTCAGAATTAAAACTGTAAATCCAAAACAAACGTACCGCTTCGAATCTCGCGCCTTCAATCCATTGGCATCCATTTGTGTCATGTTGTAAATCTAA